ACCTTTTGATCTTCAGTACTGTCTCAATTCTGATGTGAAGCGCAGGCAGTGAATTTTTTTTTTAATTTGGTTTTGGAATTTTCACTTGACTCTTTTATATTTTTATCTTTCTGCTGAATTTCCAATTTGTTCATCTATTACAACTGTACTTTTCTTCGTTATCTTCAACATAGTGACAGTAGCAGCTTTTAGAGCTTTGCTAATTCTAATATGAGTTAACTTGTGGTTGGTCTCTATTGTCTTTACTCTTGGTTATGGATCACATTTCCTTGTTTCTTCGTAAGTTTACAAATTTTGTTTATATCCTGCACACTGGGGATGGTACATTATAGTGACTCTGGGATTTGGTGTATTATTCTGGAGAGTGTTGTTTTTTGGTTATTATTTATATTAACAACGAATTGACTTGGCTGAACTGAAATCTAAAACCATGTCTCCCTACAGAGAATGGCAGGCGAATAGAGATGAATATCTCTGTTCAGTTGTTTTAACCTTACCTGGACTGCTTAGAGTCTGTTCCACTCTTGCATAGATCAGTGAAGGGATAGAGGTAATACGCAGAATTTGCAACTCTTTCTTTGGTGCTTTATTTTCCAGCATATATCTGCCTTCTTTCAGCTGCTGTCGTAGCTCCAGACTGGTTTTTCAAGCCAGTAAGCCTGCATGTTATGATCCAAGTTTCATCTGCTCTGTGCAGCTCAGACTAGGGATCTTCCTACCAGCAAAAGCTGTTAAAAACACAAAACCCACTTAGCTGTATTCCCTTCTTACAAGTGTTGTGTCCTGTCCCGACTGTGCCTACTTTTGGTTGCACAGTTACCCTTAGTTAGTTGTTTTTTATGTATTTTTCCAGAATTTATACTTATTTGTGGGAACATTGGTCTGATAAGAGGTATTCTGTTACTACTCGTGGCAGAATCTGTATTTTTTAAATTACTTTTTTTTAAAGATAAAAATATCTTATGAATTTATATTACTGTTTCCAATTCAAAACAGAACTACAAGGTTTTTATTTGTATCTGTATCTTCTTTCTTCTGTATCAAGAATTGTAGTTCTCTGATACATCAGATAGAGGTTTGATCTCCAAGATATATAAAGAACTCACTCGACTCCACTCCAAGAAGACAAACGATCCAATCAAAAAATGGGCAAAGGACCTGGGCAGACGCTTTTCCAAGGAGGAGCTACAGAGGGCCCAGAGGCATTTGAAAGGATGCTCAGCATCACTAGCCATCAGAGAAATGCAGATCAAAACCACCATGAGGTACCACCTCACACCGGTCAGAATGGCCATCATAAACAGATCAACAAACAACAGGTGCTGGTGAGGCTGTGGAGAAAAGGGAACACCAGTGCACTGTTGGTGGGAATGCAGACTGGTACAGCCATTGTGGAAAGCAGTGTGGAATTTCCTCAAAAAGCTGAAAATGGAACTGCCTTTTGATCCAGTGATTCCCCTGCTGGGACTATACCCTAAGAACACCAAAATGCCAATTCAAAAGAACCTATGCACCCCAATGTTCATAGCAGCACAATTGACAATAGCCAAGTGTTGGAAGCAACCTGAATGCCCATCAGTAGATGATTGGATCAAAAAATGATGGTACATTTACACAATGGAATACTACGCAGCAGAAAGAAAAAAAAAAACCTACTAAACTTTGCGACAGCATGGATGGAACTGGAGAGCATTATGCTAAGTGAAATAAGCCAGGGGGCAAAAGACAGATACCATATGATCTTACCTATAAGTGGAACCTAACCAACAAAACAAAGATGCAAGGAAAATAAGACCAGCAACACTGAAAGGAAAAGAAACCAACAGAGACGAGAGGGAAGAAGGGAGGGGGCCGGGGGAAAAGGAAGGGAAGGGGAAAGTCAAGGAACATACAGCAAGGACTCATGGACAAAACCAAAGGGGAAGAGCTGAGGGAGGGAAGGAGGGAGGGGGCAAGGGAAAGTGGTGGGGGGAAGGCAGAGACAAGTGTATTTGAAAAAATAAATAAAATAAAAAAGAATTGTAGTTCTCAAGGACTTGAAACAATGATAGAATTAATATATCACATAATTGTTCTTTCGACACACTTGTCTCAACTACTTGTGCTATCTCAATAACCAAAGTGAATATTGGCAACAGTTGAACATTTTTTCACTTATACTTTCCATAAAAATTCCATCTCCCAATTTTTAAACTATTGTATTAACAATTCTGCATACATTTAATCATTAAATTTTATAGTTTCTTCCTTGTGTTTCTCATTTAACCTTTATCAGTAGGTAATATTATTGATTACGTCAGTTCTTAGGTTGAAACTTCACTTTGGTTATCTGAATCTTGTTCCCTGAATTCTTTTGGAAGGTTCATGAAAGCATTATTTTATGATTTCTGACATTTTTATAAATTTATTTATGCCTTGTATGTGTTAAAAAATCAATTTTACTGGATATAAAACACTTCATAGTTGCCTAAATATCTTAAATTTGTTACTCTATTTTCTTTAGCATAAAGTGTTGCCTTTGAAAAATTTGATATTCTTAGGTGCAACATGTGTTCTTTCAGGCAGTAGTTTCAATTTTTTAAAAAATTTTAAGGAGAATTTCCTGAATTATAGTTTCTACTTATTTTTTTCTTCCAGAAGTGCTCTTTAAAGACTTCTGTCATCTGAAGTTGGATCTTTGTTGCTTCAGTATTTGTTGCTTTCTCTCTCTCTCTCTCTCTCTCTCTCTCTCTCTCTCTCTCTCTCTCTCACCTCACTTCTTTTGACTTCAAAAGTGTTCCCCCTTTTTTACCTTCTAGTTCTCTTAAAGCCTTAACTGTTTGTGTTTTCTTTTGGGTTCATTCAGGCTTAATCTTCATTATTGAACCTCCCCCTTCCCCCTTTCTGTTGCTTTCCTAATTTCTGTGACCTTAGAAATTTCTGAGTTTTATGAAATTTGATTTATGTTCTTTCACATCTTCAGTCATTTTACTAATTTATTTTAGCTCATTTTGAAATAGCAAGTTACAGTTTTCATCTATTTTGTGAAATGTGTATGCATTTCTGGTATGCTTTTATTATCAATATATTATTCTGTATCTTTTTTTATTATAACTTCATCGGATGATCAACATGATTTTTTGTTGCTCACTCTTTTGTGGGTTTAGAATGGCTTTTCTTATAGAGCTCCCTCTGCTGTTATTTTTGGGCACTTAAGTGTGGCATTTGCTTTTTGAGATTTCTAGGCTTTGCTTTCTTACCCTCATTAATGTTGATATTCTTTTTCCTTTGTCTTCATTGTACGTGTTGTGTTTAATTTTGTTTCCATATCCAGTAATTTATTTTTATTATGACACCCTTAGTGAAGGATTAGTTTTAAGAGTTCATAGGGGCTAAATTGCTCCAACTTCTTTAGACTTCACCGTGGACCCCTTGTACTTAGTCACTATTGGAAAGGGCAGAAACCTCCAGTTATAGCTTCTGTACTGAAATTTGCTTACTGGTCAATTTGCATTTGCTCTTTTGGGAGCTACTGTTGTCAAATCTGTCAGACACCATACTTCTTTTTGCTTCCTCTCTTACCAGTGCATGTCCTATGTTTGGTGATCTGTTCCCACCTGTTATTTTAGGGAGATTCCTGGTCACCCAGTTTTGTTGTAAATGTTGTGTATGGGTTTGGAGTTTATATATATGTGGAGATTTAGAGATGCTCAAAAATGCTGCCACTGCCTCCATTGTCCATGAATCTTTATAGTTTATCACTTCTTAATGGCTATTTATATGGTGATCTTTGTTTCAAATTTGATCATCTTGCTCTGATTAGATTATATAACTTCCTCTAAATAGTGCTTGAATCTTAATCACTTTGACTGCTATTTATGTTGAAAACAGCCTTTACAGTGTCTATCATAGTATTGGACATGAATGCAAGTAGCTCAGGGTCATCAGTTTGGAAATTAGTGTAACAGTAATTATGGTTTAACTTTGGCAACCTTTTAATAGTAGGATTAACAGCTACTGTTACAGATTGAAGGGAAACATTATCAGCTGGCGTGCATGCACATGAAGTTCTTTTGTGCATCATCTTTGGTTATATTCCATAGCCTGTCTTCCTCTCGCCTAGACGTTCCTGGAAGACATGGATCTAATGTGCTGTTGGTCCAAGTGAGGCCATGAAATAATAAGCATCCTAGAAACCTCTTGGAAACATAGCAGACATCATTCTTCAGAATGATAAGTCATTTCTGTTTGTCACAGTTCAAAAAAATATTGTAAAGGAAATGTAGAAACTCTTGAGTGAAGCAGTTAAAATGGTCAAGATGATAAAAAGGTTTTCTTAAAACACTTAGAACAAACAAAAAAAACCAAAGGTTGTCCAGTTTGTTTATATGAAGAGAAGGCCAATGGGTGTGGATGGGATCTGAAGGAATTTGCCAAGATCGTGAAGAGAATTAAGGAGCACAAATAGTACTTTCAGTTAAAGGAAGCATTCGTTTTTACAGATTGAATAGTAGTTTTAGGGATCTTGTTACCCTAACAAATGCCCAATTCCTTTGCTTCTGAATTTGGTTTTGTAAAAAATCAACCAGTATCCCTGACTGGTCTGGCTCAGGGGGTTGAGCACTGTCCCATGAACCTAAAGGTCACTGGTTCAATTTCCAGTTAAGGCACATGCCTGAGTTGCTGGCCAGATTCCTGGTTGGGGGTGTGCAAGAGGCAACCGATGATGTTTCTCTCCCTCTTTTCCTCCCTTCCTTTCTCTCTAAAAATTAAAAAAAAAAAAAAAAAAAATCTTAAAAAAAAAGAAAACTAGTAAGTTTGTTCCTAAAATACAGTGACTTTTATTGACTTGATAAAACTTTTGAAGATATTTGTAGTATTAACAGGTTGGTATTTCTTTATTTTTACTTCATTTGACTTTATTGCTGAAAGGTATCATAATTTAATTTATGAAGACAGTTTACTTCATAATATGTTTCATTTTAAATTCTAATTTTTACTTTTTAAAAAATCTTTAACAGGCCTCAACAAATAATGAAAGCTCTAATCACAGTTTTGGAAGCTTGGGATCTTTAAGTGACAAAGAATCAGAGGTAAGTAACTTCATTTTAACTATGGTGCTGTTAATATAAAGCTGGAATCACCCTTTTAAAAAATTAGTTTTTTTCTTCATCATTTCTTGTGCTAAATGTTAATACTTTTTAAGTTCTTTTTGTAGGAGCATTTTATCTGCCTATGAAGCACAGCATTCAGACTGAAGACTGTATTTGGCATTAGAAAGAAAATATATTTTTTGGTTATGTAGCTGAACTTGTGGCATAGGTGTTCTTAATGGAAGACAGTTACTAGCCATTCATAATTCTAGGAGATGAAGGTGGTTTTTGAAATACATTGTTTCACAGTTTTCTATTATTTCTCATTAAATCCTTTTAGTTTGGCTCGGAGTAAGGATTTGTTTACTTTCTGAGATACAGATACAAGGTTTTTTTTTCTCTTTGTGAAATCTCTTGTGGAATTTCATGCTGTTGATTTTTACATTTCTTACTTAAAAATATCTGAAAAATCCCCCTTTGCACCCACTTACTGACCCCACTAGGAAAATAAATTCAATTTTGTTAGTAGTCATTTGGATCCATGGTAGAGTTCACATTGACCATGATACACTTGATGGCATCTTTGAAAAATGCGTAGACAGGAATGTCTGAGTTTTAGCATTTGCTTATTGATGCTGCAACTTCACTTTTTGTGGATATAGCTTGTAATATTGTCTCTTCTCAAATTATGGTGTTCTTTCTCTTTTTGGTGTATATGTGTGTATGTGTCTGTGTGTATGTTTTCTCTGTCAATGTTAACTTATTTCTACTTGGTCCATTTTAGTCTTTTTTTAAATTTGGGTTAGCGTAGATCTATAACCTTGATAATACCAGAATGTTGTTAGCACTCAGTAACTCGTAACCATTCAGTTTTGGTGTTCAGTGGAAGGGGAATGTCAGTGGTGGCATCTTTGTAAGCCCTGTGTTATGGGAAGCATCTAGGAACCTCTGGGCAGATAGTTCTGTGCAGCTCTGTGCAGGCACCCTGACACTCCAGAGGAGTGTGGCATAGGGCTCTCACTCATCAGGCTTTCCCTTCCACAGAGACAACTGGCAGGCAGCTGAAAGGACTGTGCAAGTGACGGGACTTTATCTGCAGTAGGTTCCCTTGAGGTAAGCGTTAGTAGCCCCTATAGTACCAGACTGTCACAGTTTAGTTTTTTTTTTTTTTTAAATTAACACATTTATACCGAGCCTTTAAAAATTGTAGGTTTAGATCTAGACAAAGTACAGTTTTTCAGAAATTATATCAAGAATGTTTTCAATTTACATTTCTTGGACTTTGAAAAATTTCTTGATATTTCCAGATTTGGATCTATTTAGTAAATTCACATGCCTCCTCTTTCATAGGCTTTTATGTTATAAAGAACAAAAAAATAGTTTTATACATTTCCCCTTTCTGTTCACCAAATCTGGTGTTTCTGATTTTTTTAAAAATAGTGAAACGTAGTAAAAAAGTTAGATCACCTATAACGTATATTTCTATGATTTTTATAGATGGCAGTATTTGATTCCTTCAAAAGAATCAATCTATAAGAAAATAGCACTTCGCTTTGAAGAATTGCAAGAATCACTTTTTGCTATATTTTTCATTAAAATTTTTAAGACTGCAGTGGCATTTGCAGTGAAATAAAGTTTGGTTCACCATTGGATGTACTTTGCTTTATTTGTATAGAAATTTTGACATAGGGACAGCAATAGAAAAGCTTAATCTTTTGAATTTTGCTGTTTTGTGTTCTGTATCTGGAAGTTTTAGAAATTAATGGTTAAGTCAAGTGGCACAATATTTTGGAAATGACTACAGATTATACATTTTTCTTAAAATGTGAAGAAGCAAACTTTTTTGGTCTTTTCATTATAAGAAGCTACATGTCTGGAAAATAATTCCCAGGTTTTATTTCTATATGGCATACCTTAATTATTGAATTTCTTTGGGGTGAAATTTTATACAAATCAAGATGCAGATATTCATAGGCCACTGAGTTACGATGTTGGAAGTAAACAGTAAAATGCAGAAGTACTTCTTTTTTTCCTGTACACCAAGTAGTAGAGTTTATGTAGTATTTCATTGTCTTCTGATGTCATTTTATTCTTTTGGTAATCCATTTCCTAATCATTACTTTTTTAAAAATAGTAGGTTTTGTTTTTATGAACAAATAGTACTAAAACCCTTCATTTATTTATTTTTAAAAAACAGTTCTCTGCCACCCATTTTTCCACACTCCTCTTTCTGTTTTCTAGCCTTTCATACTGGTATTTATTTCCACGTTTTACAGTGTAAATAATGTGCATATCTTGCTATTTTGTTTTATCAATTAGCATTATCTGTTGAGTCCCTCTTAGTATTTATGAAGATTTTAGCTTCCCCTACTGTGTATCCTCCTACCCAGTGCTCTTCAGACACCAGAACACTCCTGTATTCTATTACCCTTTTACTATTAAAACTGGAAAACATCTGATATTTAATGTTAGGCTAATTGAATCTACTTCAACTGAAATTTACCATTTCAGTTAATATATGAATCACTTCATAACTAGATTTGCCTGTATTTCTAAATGTAGATATTGTAGGTTCTAAATGGAGGTTTTTCCTTTTGTTAATGAAATCACCTGTAGCAGGTAGGAAGGTGTTGATCTTGCTTTGCTTTATTTTAAATCAACCTAGATCTATTCAACAGTCTCCAAAAATTTATTGTATTTTCATTAAGCATTCATTATTTATCTACTATCTCCTCATCTCTGCCTTCACAAGAGTAGGACAGACTACTTTATAAACATGGTGGGCTGTTACAATAAATGTAAGCAAGGACAAGGTGCTATGGGATCAAAGAGCAAGAAACTCCTAATTCCATCTTCGTGCACAGGAGAGGAGAGGAGGGAAGAGAAGAGTTTTCCTTCAGAGAAGCAATGGTAGTTGTTACAAAAGGCTATGGATTCATTCCAGAGGACAAGGGCAACATATGAAAAGGCAGGCAGAGGGAATAGGATATGCTTTCGCTTTTGCATGGAAGCTTGGCAAGTAGTTTTGTTCAAGATACAAGGCAGTGATTCTCAACCCCAGCTGGACTTCAGAGCCCCTGAGGAGCTTAGAAAAAATACCACACAGCAGAGGTGATTCACCTGGTTCACAAGTTTCTGGTCTAGGGAGGATATGCAAGAAGGGTGAAAGATAGGGATGGGTCAGAGTTTGAAAGAAAGCCCTTTTCTATCATAGAAAGGAATTTGGGCTTTTATCTGGGTGACAGAGAGTTGTTGAAGTGTAGGGGTTGGGCGAAGACAAAATAGAGATAAAGAAGGCCTTCACAGTGGCAGTGCAGAGGATAGAACATTGAGAATGTCTGGAGGGACATTAAACCAAAGTTAGGAAGATCATTTACTTCAGGAATACCGTGCCTTTACAAAACTCCAGACCTTTGAGGTTTAATGTTAGGAGTAAAAACTTCAAGTAAGAGGGGTTCTGGTTTAGTGATCTCAAGGTGGCCTTTTGGATACCCTTCTACTTCAGATGCTCTAACTTTGGTTACTGTGACACTGTCAGCATCCAGGCCCATGCTTCTCGGAGTTTAATGTACAAGTGAATTACCAAGGGTTCTTTGCCTGTAGGTCTGGGGAGGGGGTTTGCATTTTTCTAACACGCTCTCAATTCTGCCAGATTTTAAAAGTGAAATCAGTAGGGTTTGATGACTGAATGAGAGTATAGAAGGAAAGGGAAGAGGCTAGGATTATTTAAAGGTATGTAACTTTAGATGATGATGCAGGAAAGAAAGAGGTCTGGCTATAGATAAAGACTTAGGAGTTTCTACATAGGTGTGAAGTATTGAATTGTCTGAGGATTCCTGGGGATCCAGAGACTCTTTTGGAGGGTCCACAAGGTTAAAACAATTTTTATAACAGTGCTAAGACATTATTTACCTTTTCAAAAATAATGCTAAGTCATATTTGGCTTTTTAAAACTTTTGCTTTTTCTTGAGTTTATAGTGAAAATCTCCAGAGGCTGTATGACACATGATATCATCACTGACGATATATGGATTTTGTACTTGTGTGTTCTGATGTTTAAAAGCTTTTTAGTTTTAAATTCTAAAATGGTAAATATCGTTAGTTATAATCCAGATAAATAAAAGCTTCGGGAGGGTCCTCAACAGCTTTTAAGAGTTTGTAGTGGACTCCTGAGACCCAAAAGTTTAAAAACTGCTTCTGTAGATGAACTCATCCTGATAGTTTGTGTAACTCTAGAAAATGTTACCAGGCAGGATGGGCGTGCTGGAGAAAAGAGGTAGATAAATAGGAAGAAAAAGAGAAAATGAATTAAGTGTCACAGAAGGTCACATTAAGATAACAATGGCAAAAAGTGACTAAGAATTTGTTACTTAGGCTTAGTTTTAGTAGATTAATGGGAGCAAGATGCTAGATTATAGTTGATTAAGGAAGCATTGGAAAGTGAGGAAATAGTGACAGCAAATATTGACAGCTTTTGGCAGAATCTTGACCGTGAAGGAAAGGAGACAGTATTGAGAGTCTTAGCAGGCTTGACATGTTATGTGCTAAGGAAAGGGGGTCATAGCAGAGCTATGATGGGACAAGGAAAGTGCTGAAGAGAGAGGGGGAAAATAGAACCAACTCTTAACACCTTTTCCTGGAGGCAGCGTGAATGGTGAGATCCAGACCCTGATAGGCAGGGTGAGTTGTAGGCAGAAATGACTAGGAATGGCCTTCCTTCTGATGGATGAACTTCCGCGCCTAGTAACCTTTCCTTTACTTTACAGTGAAAATAGAGGTTATTAGCTGAAGGAAAGAATCATGAATGGGTGTTGGGTGTGTGGGTAATGATACCAGTTTTATGAGAGGGACAGGGAAGAGAGTTTGAGGGAGAGGGGTCACTCATCCTTTTAAAAAATGTTTTGGAATGCCTTTAGGAGTTATAAACATAGTCTGTGTGATTTACCTGCTAGGTAAAAGTCCAGATTATTTTATGAGGATAAGAGAAGGAGCCCATATTT